AAAAAAAAAAATTTCCCCCCCCCCCCCCTCCCCCCCCCCCCCCCCCCCCCGTCCCCAAATCTTCCAGCCCTATAAAAAGAGTATTTCCTTCTTCTTGGATATATGGCTAATTTCTTGCGATCGATCGGATTCTCTTTGTCTCTCTCTCTCCTCCGTCCTCCCTCTCTCTTACTCTCTTCGTATATTTAACTGGCTCCTCGGCTAGATTGCTCATTTCTGAATTGACCCCTCGTTACGTAATACCGATATACGCAGCCCTATGCGTCGACGATGAAAATAAAATAAATTTTAATCTATAAACATAATATACACTTTGATATACTCCCATGAAATGTTGGTCCACGATAACGTCCAGTGCCTCGTGTAAAACGAGTGAGATTTCTAAAGTTTTAATACCGTGCGAATCTGTAATCCCGAAATTTCTTGAGGGCTTAAAGAGCTTTGAAGCTCCTCGTGAAAGTTCCCACCTATGGTAACTTCCAACTCACAGATCCATCTCGATAATTGCTTATGATCCCAGCATCCTTGCTTGGCTACGTTTCTTTCCTATTATATTCTGCCACGTATATAATACCTTTCCACTTTACATTGGTATATCAAACTTCTCTTACAATTTCTCTTTGACCTACGCCATTTCGCTTTTCCAGCTTTACTCTCGTCCTTGTACCAAGTACCAAGAGGCCGAAGATATTAACCCGGAAAAAGTAGATCCTTCGATAAAAGGAATTCGAAGGAATAATATTTTTCTTCCATTTCAAATTATTCCACGGGAAAGTCTCTCTCCGCATCTTTCCCTTCGCGATCTGCCGTTACTTTATCAGCTTCCTCGACTTCCGCTTTAACTCCAGTCACTCAAGTCCAATCGAAGACGCACGAAGATCAACGAAACTCCGCGAGAGACTTCAAGGTAATCCCAACCTGTCTCTCCGAGTCTTCGATCCGCCGTTATTATCGAAATTAATGCGTCTCTCGAATTGTCAGGCAATTCCCGATAAACGAAATTCCTGGCTAAAAATCACAAACCTCCACGAGCACTAACGACTCGCCGTTTCGTTATTCCATTCGACTGAACTTCGCCTTGCTTTATTCTACTCGCGGCTTCCCCTTAGCTAAGATCCTTTCGCCTGGTGACAGGTGTCCCGCGAGACTAGGATCTCCTCCCTAAACCAGAGACAGTCCTACTGGAGGGACACGTACAACTTTAACGATTATTGCTACACACGCAGCCAACTTCAGTCTCCGTGGTCCATAACCGTATATCGATTTTCTTACGGTGACAGTAAAAGCATCGAAATGCCAATTTTTTTTTCCCTCGACTGTTCTTATACACTGTGGCCAGATTCATAATTTCGTATGAAATATTGACCCGTGGTAGAACATACAATATTAATGAATATTATATACAAAAATAGTACAAACGTAGCAGCATTTACAGGCAACGTGTTCCTGATATCGTATTATAAACATGTCTGATCCGCACGACAGTTTTCTATTCGAATAGTTCACTCGGCTCTCTGTCCACAATTGATCGTAACTTCTTATGAATGACTCGCTTACGGAGTCATCAAAGTTGTGTCAATCTCACCCTAACCGAAGGGCGAAGGTAATCTGATTAGAGGATAGCAAGCCTAATATATGCGGAGGCTCCCCCTAAATTCGGAGTCTAGGATAACTCATTCGGTATATATATATGATAGTAATATTCGATCGATCTAAAAACTACTTTGGTCCTATCGAAGTACATTGGCCATTAACGATACCATTTAATCTAGTGGATTAATTGATCGTTAAGAGGATAACGTATACTGTTTGCATAACCAGGCTAAAATTTGCATGGAAAGCTCGTACTCCAGTTAGATTCAGGATAGAAATTTTTATATCCAAAATTTTGGTCAGAGTCATCAGGGGTGAAATCGAAAAGAAACTTCTTTTCGAATTTTCCGTCGGTTCTCGTGTGCCGCAGGGCTGAAAGGAAGAAGAGTCAAGGGTCATGGCAAAGGGTTTAAAGGTTAAAAAATAAAAAAGGTCCCGTAACGATTACTCCCATTAAACTCCTTTCATCCATTGTCAGGAACTTGGAGAAACGATGTTCAGTAAGGAAGATCGTTCGGGAGAAGAGTTCGTTACCTACCTCGACGAAGTAAACGTTAAAGTCGACGTCCTCGAAGTCGTCTTCGGCGTCGTCCAGGAGATCCTCTACTGACTAATCGTTTAGTCGTTTCGATGGCACAGTGACGTATCATCCGTTGCCTCAGGCTCCAGGACCAATTCTTCATCCGAATTATAAGGGTAGGAGATATCTCACTCATTTCCTTTATCTTCTTCTTCTTCTTCTTCTTCGCCCTCCTTTTCCTTAGCCCAGGAAACGTCGCCTTGGCAGCCTCTATTAGGAGTGATCACGAGCCATCCGAAATTCCGACAATTCCAAGTATCTACCGACAAGATCATTTAGGTTCTGATCCGAACTCATCCGCTTGGAAAATAATCATTTATTGCCGAGTCGGTTGTCGGCTGATGCCTCATCCGGAAGAGGGAGGAAGAACTGAAAAAGAGAAGAGAAAAAGTGATCTGAGGAGGTTCAAGCGTTCTTATCCTTATCCCGATTCCTCCCCCCGGGCCACTTCGTTCCATGACCCTCGACACTTTGAAGTGACTAGCCGCAAACATTTCTCAGGATAACAAGCTAATTCACGTGTTTCCTTTGGAGTCGAGATAACTTGATCGGCGTGAAATTTGAGAGGAATAAAGAAAAAAGGAACGGAGATAAAAAAAGACAAGAGCTAACCAAAAAAGGAGTAAAGCATCACGTGGACTTGGATACAGTAAATTGCGAAATTCCCAGTGAGAGAATTGCGATAAATTAGCAAGTCTGTGGATGCAACTTGCGGTGGCGGATAGCGAAGCTGAGTGAAGCAGGAGTAAGATGGTCGTAGGTCTCAAGGGCTGTTAGTACTGGGGGAATGTCTCGAGGATTAAGGAATACGGAGTAACGGAGTAACGGAGTCTAGGGATAAAGGAGCGAAGGAGCGGAGGAGAGAGCGAGAGGGACGATCAGGATCTACGTCAGTTAAATTACAGTGGGGAATAATCAAGGGAGTAAAGGTGAAGAGAGAGCGAGAGAGAGAGAGAGAGAGAGAGAGAGAGAGAGAGAGAGAGAGAGAGAGAGAGAGAGCTGGAAAATAGAGGATGCTGTCGAAGAGAGTGAAATACGCTCTTGCGCATCTGTCGCATCACCAACACATTGCGCGACTTGCACGTCCAAATTTGCGGCGGGTTCAGAAAGGCGACAGAAATATTTTGGTGAGATCTTATAACCCTTCTTTACAATTGGAATTAGCCACTAGTCTTGCTGCCATCTGTAAATCAGAATTAGGATCTATTACGACAAGGGTGAAGTAGTAGACTGATTTCCCTTTTTTTTTTCTCTTCTTTCGCTCTCGACGATGCTCGACACGATTTAGACATCTGCCTTTGTGGTTCCACGGGCTGCCCTAAAGTGTCGGCCCTCCAAGAGAATAAAGATCATGTCTCAACCGAGGAACGTCAACAAGAAGTTTGATCCCACGTAAGAGATTGCTCCTTCAGCATCCAACAAGAGACCCTTCTTACAAAAGAGAGTTCATAATTTCCTTGGACCTTCTTTTCTTCCTATCCTCTTATCCCTCCACCTGTCCTCCTTCCATCTCCTCTATTCCCCTCTTGGCGTTAGGAAAGCAGCGACCGGATATCCCAGGATTCACCCCAAGACCCTTAACGCTCAGACCAGCAAGAGGACTGTGGACTTGGCGTTACCAAAAAGAAGGTAAAAATCTGCAATCACTCGAATGACAGTTAGCCTTTCTGAGGTAAAATTGCCAGTTCATGATTCTTGATTCATTTTAATAAATTGTATATTGGCTGTATGACTCTTTTTTATTTTAAAGCATAGTCGTAGCCACGAAGACATTCGCTACTGGCAATAAGACAATGACTATAATCATCAAAGACTTATTGTCCCGAATTCATAATTCACGGTATCAGAAATACAGGATGCTGTGCAATGCACTGGCGAGACAACGAGCGGCAAGAGAGTAATGGCAATTCAAGGGAATATTTATGTATAATATATTCTGAATTATGATATAAGTTTGTATAAATTTTGTATTTTATTCAGAGCGAAGCAGAGAAAAAAATTGCATATGGCTCTCTCTAAACCGGAGGATTGGACGAGACATAAGGAGGTTTTGAAACGATTGGCTGAACCGAAACCAATACCCACTCCGAGAGTTCATGTAAGGCAATTGCCATTGTCTATTCAACGTTCTTTTATTTACTTCAGATATGTATACCTGTGTCTCGATTCGATTAGACTCGTGGAAAGTGGAGAAAGTTTGATCCAACAAGAGTAGAGTTTCTCTCAATGCCAGTAACAAAGGACTCGCCAGAGTCAAGGGATCCTTTCAAGGTGCCACCAAGTGCGCTGACCTACGTGATCACAAAAAGAATCAAAGAAATTGCTTTCAAAAAAAATCCACCCGAGTACATACCTCCTAAAATACCTGGAGCCGTATCGCCAGCAGCAGTCAAAGCAGTCGGTACTAAGTATATTAGGAAATACAGCTCGTAGCTAAATAGTACAGCTAATCCTGGCAGCAAGTTCAATTTCGTCAATAAATTCCTCGGTAGTCTTTGCTAATGAGAATTCAATGAGGGTCATTAGCATGATAGCTCAAAGCCTCGTATCGATACATTCCCATGTGTCATATAGGGCCTTAGTTATTCCTGATCCTTCTTGAATATTGCAGCTTCACCTAGGACGATAATCTTGGCGAAGCCAGCAGTGAGACCCGCTGGTGTGGAAACTGACCTTAAGGAAGATGCCTTTAGTGTACCAAGGCAGGCGCTAAAAGCCAGATGTCCGCCACGTATAAGAAGGCTGGCCAGACCAAAGACCTATGGAAAATCTTGATAAGATTCTCAAAGTAGGAGACATATAGAAGTTTATGCATACGTAATGCAAACGTCTGCTATCTGTTTTACTGCTCTGTCCCGTCTGACTCACAAAATAAATAAAGAAACAGAAGAAGGTTTTGGCATTCTCTGATCGACCTATATCTACTTGTATGTTTTAGATAGTCTGGAGAATACGTATGCATTATATTACGGGGATATGGGAAAAGCCGAATATAAAATGATAATTTGTATGGTATGGGCGAGGGCAGTAGAGTGAAACATCTGAGAATTGCAAATTCAGTTGAGGTTATGGTGATCGAATAATATTTAAAGCCAGAATGTCGACTCTTGAGGTTCTCGCTAATAAACTTAACGAACTATGGCGTCTCCTATAGTAAATTCGACGTGGCTGGAATCAAAGTTTCGCGGATACGCGTGGCAAGCAAATTAATACGGGCTGAGACATACCTTCTCTGTTTCTCTCTCGTTATCTTTGTCCTCTGTGTCTCTCTTTCTTTGTCTCATTCTCTAACTGTGTCTTGTTAGCTCTCTCGCTTTCGAGAAGAGATACTGGAGATGCTCGAATGTTGGGAATGCGGCCAAATAACTTCTCGCCGGATGGCCAGCTTGGCAACGAAACTCGGCAGCATCCTCAAAGTCAGACTACGCCATTCGCTGGAGACCTGCTAAACCCTCACTATTCTTTTATTTCTCAACGACATTTTAGAATATAGGAGATAACGCTCGACGACACTTAAAGAATGGATATGAGTTATCAACTCTGTATTTCTGGTCTGCGAATATTACGAATTTGAGGCAATGAAGACGAAAAAGTACAATATGGCGATGCGTCACAGTGAAAAATTAATAGTAAATGTATTTGCTTTTTGTACAAGAAGAAAAATTAAATATTTAAACGGTTTTCCGAGGCGCCACGAGCATTGCAGTCATCCATTTTTCTATTTATGCGCAATAGAGATGCGCGGAACTTCGAAAGTTTTACGCGCCATAAAGTTTTTCACATTTATCTGTACTGAGTGGCTGCATTCTCATATTATACGTAAAAATATTACGTGGGATGTTACGAGAAACATACCCGTAAGATTTACAAGTTACCAAATATTTAATTTTATTGTAAGGATGCAAGTTCTGTATATTTCACTTTCACGACGCCATTGTCCGACTTACTCGCTCGCTGTCATCGGCGCTACGATCATTCGTCCGGTAGTTGCGTCGTGTAAAGTTCCTCAATAAATCTTAAGTAATTAGTGTTCGTTTTAATAATCGTAGTCAAAAAGTGTTAACAGATTATTGCCAGTGACAAGTGTAATAAGTAACGTGTGTTGTGAGTTTCATAGGTTAGACATGAATCGAGATATTCCATAATGAACTTACACGATTACAATGGCGTCCCCTGATCTCATTGTCTTTATTTTCACATTCCTCTCGTTTGCTCATTGATTTCTCTTGCTTTTTAATCTATTCACGTTGCTCAAGTCTATGTTTTAGCCAGTGCCGGAATAATTGTGTAGTAACAACGGTAGGATTAGTAATACCACTGTTAATAGCGGTTACGAGGGGAACTGTGTTCTATTGTCTTTGACATTATTCCGGGCAAATGATACATGCGATACGCGTCGTGAAACTTTGTGTGCTTCTACCGTGCAAAGTCAACTTTACATTGTGAAATTTCAACATGCTGTTCCAAGACCAGCTAAAATTGTGTAGGGCGAAAGAGGGAGAGAGAGAGAGAGAGAGAGTTAAAGGAAGTAATGGAATCCAGCTGTGAGCTGAATCTTTATGGCCAAAGATAAATTGATTGAGCAGCTATCGACTTGTCATTGGGAATCCGCGAATGGTAAGTAGATTTTTCAATTCCTGTGATACCTGATAATGCCGTCTGATGAAAGATCCGAAGTGGCACGGGTATCAGTTGTAATTAATTTAATAAATTCGTAGAATCAATCTTGATTGCGTTGGTTCGCAAATGATATTCTTGTTAATTAAAATTATTAGATCAGGTTCAAATTCTTCTTGCTCTGCGGTGATTAAAAGAAAAACTGTACTGAAAATCGATGATGAATTTTTTTATAAAGCCTGGTTCATTTTTATTTCTGTAGATGCGGTATGACAAGCAAAAAGAAATGTCGGGAAGTTCTTTGTTCGGAGGATGAAATTCTAATGTGCATTTTGTAGGTTATTCGACTGGACGCGAATAAAGACATAGGGTTTATTGAAGCATTATTTTCTTTGTTCTGTGGAAATGAGGACAAACTCCTCTAGCTCCAGTCCTCGTGTAGAGTCTGTATTATCTCTTTAATTAACTTCATTTGGTACATACTGTCGTTTAAATGCATTAAAATCGCTAGACCGTAAAAAATTCAAATTTAATTCGATTTAGAATATAATGTTTTCAGCTTCGTTCGGTGAGTAAAACGCACGGTTTTTCGAGTTGTAGGGTAAGAATAGCAATTCTTAAAGGTGTCATACGATGAACCTTGGAATACTTTAGCAAATCTTATTATTTCTTTAATATGTCTGAATCATTTTGATTGACTGTGTGGATATATGGACTTAGCTTTCTTGTGTTGTTGGATTTTTAATTAAAATACAGCTATGGAGGTAAGTCAGTTTATTCTGGAATGAATGCCAAGTTATATGTAAATAAGTTTAATATAGAGCATCTTCCACTGTGTTTGAGAAAGAAATTTTGAATTTTGTTATCCTTTGAAATTTATTGGAATTCGAATTAAGAAAGATTATTGATTTTTCTATTATCTATCTGTCTCTCTACCTTTATTGATCTACTTTTTTGCTTTCCTTTTTTACACATTGCCGACGTGTGTTCATTCGCTTTCTTTTATTTCCGGTAAGAAATCTCTTCAAGCGTTCCACAGGTCGTCGAGAGATCATTCTGGGAGCGTCATGAAGAAGAGGCTGCAAGCTGAAGACGTTAATGGTAAGAGGATAAATATTTGATTTGCGATTCTTTTTAAAGAATCGCAGGCTATTCAAATTGATCTATTTTGTTAATTTATTATTTTACACACTATATGAATATTCATGATATTTTCATACCAATCTTGTTGCACCTGGGTACAATATTATCTTTCTTTATCTTTTACTGATAACTGTACTTTTTATTCAATTATTTATCCTTCAACTTCCTTACACAGTACAACAAAACATCCGGTAACCTGAGCATCCAATGTAATCCGACGGCTAAAATCTTTTATCCCTACGCTAGACGTACATCCTTTGTAAAATTTGCCCAGTGCAATAATGCAATTGCGTCATAATAGAACCCGCTAATTACTATCCTCTGTGTAAGCTCGTATCAGTTTATCAATCTTAATTTACCCGTCTGTTCCTTCTTGTTCAAATCGTAACGGAATATTTCTCATTTCCACGAGATTCACGATCAACTTCGTTCCTAGTTCATATTATATTCTTCATTTACTTACGCTGATCGCTCAAATGTCTCAGGTACATTTTATTATCAACGACTCAACGACTGATTACACTTTCATGAAGTTTATGGAAATTCAAAGTGATCCCTACCCTTCACCATTCCTCATACCATGTACGTCGAGGACTGTACTTCGCAGCACCGAACCTATTTAATTTTCCCGCCACAATGTTTGAGATCCCAGCACCATATTCTCAACGTCAGGAAGACATCGCTAAGGCCCTTATTCATAGGGTCTGGGAAGTGAGCCCCCCATAACTCGAAAATTCTGGTTCCGTTGTTTGTTCTGGGTTGTTCTAAGTTTGTTCTATAATGTTCCAGAAAAACTAGTTTCTCAATTGAAATTTGTAGCGGTGAGGCGGGAAACACAGTTTTTTACCGGAACCCCCCATTTATGGAAAATCAAACGTTTTTTAGTTGTTCCAAGTTGTTCTAGTTGTTCTAAATATTGTTCCAAAATATTAGTACCGCTAAGTGAAGAATACACGAATGGGATCAAAAAAACGTTTTTTTTCATATAAAATCGTTCTACATTGTATAGTTCCGATTTCGAAACTTGTTCTACATTGTTCTAAGTTAGTTGCTATTATCCGATCGCTATACAAATCTAGAACAATCATCGATAGACCCAGAACCTAGGAAAACCTAGGAAAACCTAAAACAACCTATAAAAACCTAGAACAACCTAGAACATGCTGGAATAACCTGGAAATCGTTTGAAATGGTCCTATATCCACATGCGATTCTCAGAGCGTTCGTCCTCGTCAGCTTTTCTAGTGTTTCCCTGGTTTTACGTGTCTGTCCTACCTGATCATCCTGGAACAACCTGGAGCAACCTAGGACAACCTACGAAAACCTACGAAAACCTACAAAAACCTACGTAAACCTACAAAAACCTACAAAAACCTACAAAAACCCGAAAAACCTATGAAAACCTAGAACAAGCTGGAACAACCTGGAATAACCTGGAAATCGTTCGAAATGGTCCTATATCCACATGCGATTCTGAGAGCGTTCGTTCTTCTCAGCTTTTCCATTGTTTCCCTGGTTTTACGTATCTAGAACAAGCTGGAACAACCTGGAACAACCTGGAACAACCTGGAACAACCTGGAACAACCTGGAACAACCTGGAACAACCTGGAAATCGTTCGAAATGGTCCTATATCCACATGCGATTCTGAGAGCGTTCGTTCTTCTCAGCTTTTCCATTGTTTCCCTGGTTTTACGTATCTAGAACAAGCTGGAACAACCTGGAATAACCTGGAAATCGTTCCAAATGGTCCTATGTCCACATGCTATTCTGATAGCGTTAGTCCTCCTCAGCTTTTCCAGTGTTTCCCTGGTTTTACGTGTCTGTCCTACCTGATCATCCTGGAACAACCTGGAACAACCTGGAAATCGTTCGAAATGGTCCTATATCCACATGCTTTTCTGAGAGCGTTAGTCCTCCTCAGCTTTTCCAGTGTTTCCCTGGTTTTACGTGTCTGTCCTACCTGATCATCCTGGAACAACCTGGAAATCGTTCCAAATGGTCCTATATCCACATGCTTTTCTGAGAGCGTTAGTCCTCCTCAGCTTTTCCAGTGTTCCCTGGTTTTACGTATCTAGAACAAGCTGGAGCAACAAAAAAAACTTTGATTTTCCGTAAACGGGGGGTTCCGGTAAGAAACTGTTTTTTGCGCATCACCGCTACAAATTTCAATGGAGAAACTTGTTTTTCTGGAACAATATAGAACAAACGTAGAACAACTCAGAACAAACAACGAAATCGGAATTTTCGAATTATGGGGGGGGCGAACTTCCTGGACTCTTATTCATAGTCAGTGCTCGAAACGAAGACGAAGACGATAAACACCGTAGTAATACGTGACAGAGGACTTAGGATCGTACAGACGATAGAACTGACTATCTATGAATACTACCCTAATTTCTTCCCAGACAAGGCGGAGGTACTTGTTCCAGTCGTATGGGATTCTTATCAGCATCCCAGTGCATCTTGTCTAACTTCTATCTGATTCGCATTCCTCATGCGCCCCTCACGTAATAATCTTCCAGTGGATTTCCCAGTAGCGTCGCGGCGTTGCACATGCAACTTTCTAAGTGCATCCCACTTATGCATCCCCCTCACGCATTTCTTAGCCACAATAACCTCCACCAACCAGCAAGAAACTTCCTAACGAGGATTACACACTATCTCGCCGATAGTGAATTCCCATATACCTTTTATATCTCAAACTAATTTCCCGTCTGCTCGATGTACCCCCACAAGTTACCTGAAACAAACTAACTATTCGCCGTGTTAAGGTAATCTTTAAAAGAAGTGGTAATCGTTAAACTTGTATTTTCCCACAAGAGTAATTAGTGACGATACCGTGGCGGGTGGTGGGGAAGGGCGCGGGGGGGGGCTATCCGGCGCATGAAACTTATTCCCAAATAGTCGAAGCTGACTGGTCGGCCATTTCCCCGAGAATATAAATGTGGGTTTTCGCTCGTTTTGACTTTGCAATTCCGTTCACGTTTCGCTCTGGCTGTCACCGACTCAATGCGACCTCCTCCCGCCCTTCACCCTCTCCCCCTGCTCCCAAGTTTCTCCTCCGCCTCTATCTCTGTCCCTCTTCCTCTCGCTCACACCACTCCACTGTCCCTTCGAATACCCCCTTCCCCCCTCTTCATTCCTACCCCCTTTCGTATACTCTCCCTACACAAAGGTATAACTTTGCTCGGTTAGAACAGTCCGAGCATGGTCGGAGGATTCCGTTATTGGATATCGGAAAATGGTCCTGCCTTATCCCTCCTTAACGCACCCAGAAATTTCCTGGCTGAATTGCCGATCCCCGCCCCTCCATTTGGTAGTCGCCCCCCCTTTCCCCTGTAAACTAGGAACGACGTGCAGCTACACCTCTCAACACCACGTGTATCTATCCCCTTCGTTTCCGTTTGCTCGCGATCGTCCCTTCGTAAGGGGGAGGTGGGAGGTATGCATCCGTTTGAGACACACAGCGTAACACAGCATCCCAATACACTTCTCCTTCTTCTCGTGAGCTTAACGGATGATGCTTTGGTCGCGAAATCCTACCGACCTTTTCACCCGAAAGCACCTTGCTTAAGCTACGGCTTGCCGAGTTTAATCCGAGCGTTTGATTTCTCTGGGTCTCTTGGTATTCTCGCGATTCGCATCGTTTCCCCGTCTGTCCTTCCCTTTGCCTTCGCCCGTTTACACCCACCCTCGAGCTCCTCACCCACTTTGAAGCGGATCCGCGCTCTGCCAAAGTTCTGGAGGCGCCGCTATATGCTTACGGGGTTGATATTTTGGCTGGACGGATCACCAGGGGGATCATTTTATTAAACTAGAATGAACTACGGTCGAGTATGTTTTATCAGGAATATCGAAGCTTGCTTCGCATCGCCAGGGACGTGCTTATTTGTTTTTCGCTTTGTTCTCGCGCCCCTCTGATCGGTCGAGCGAGAACGTATCGAAGTTGCTTCGTCCGTCTGTACCAGGTCTGGTTTCTTTAGGCTGGGAAGAAAGATGAAAGGCTCAAAGGGAAGTCTCGATGCGATACACGCTATTTCGTTGTCGCGGAGTGATTTAATAAGTCGTCGCGTATTTAAAATTTTTTTTTTTTTTAAATACGTTTTAGTGTCTCATACTCGTGGCGGTTTTTTGGGGGATTTTTTTTTTATATTTTTTTTATACATATTTTTTTCACCTTTCCACGCTAACTACGTTTTGTTCGGTGTCCTGCGCTTTTGGCTTTCCTTTTATTTCTTTCCTTTCGAGCTTTTCTACTCCTCGGGAATTTATGTGCCGACATCGCGCCCAACTTTTACCATCAGACTCTCTACCGTCCTTTTTTTTTTCGTACTACTTGTCTTCCTTCTCTCGCTCTTTCTCACCAGCACTCTTTCGCCTCTTGTCAGCCACTTTTTATCGGCGCGGCAGTTACCTACGGAACTTGGCTGTACATCGGCTGGCATCCATTCCTTTGAACTTGTTCTCCGCTAGTCCGTGAGCTTTTACACGCTTTATGGAGGCCGTTGTCAATAACAGTTGTGCCGGATTGTCGAAGTAACGAAAAAATTTTTTAATAAAGAGCCTCGATTACAACCTGACACCTGTTTCCTTTGTTTACAGGATATATACGGGCTGCGCCGCGTATCTCTGTTCGCCGTAGATTATTTTTGGATCGAAGGCTTAAAAAATTTCGGAAATTCATTGGCAGCACTTTATCACGTTTTTACGCTATTGATCTTTTTACCCTTTTTTTTTTTACTTTAAAATCGAACTACTTTCCTGGCGGAATATTCAGATGCTCTCGTACCTCAGATTTGTTTGGTATTACTGCATGCTTCGAAAGTTGAAGGATCTCGCGCATGGGAGCCCGGAGGCTGAAAGGACTGGCCGCAATTGCTTTCGGGTAACTCTGATATATCCCGGCTATTGGGCTTTTCAATTCGTCCCGCGTAAACGTCGCCATTTCTCTTGATTTTCCGCGTACAGTATCTCAAGCCACGTAAAGCCGCCCGTGGAAAATTAGAATTTTCCCCGCTTCCTTCTTTGCCCTTCCTCACGGGATATTCCTTATTTGCTCTTCCCTTTACTTCTCCGTTAGCCTTGCGGTTAACGTATTTCTAATTTATTATCTTGCTGCCCCAACTTCGCACTCCTCCGGTCATTACTGAATTTTTATGATTTACCGTATGACGGTAGTTAAGAGAGTTGGGCGTGGGTCCGTGTCAAAAATTTGATCAGGTGCTACCCACGGTCATTAATTTAATGAGCACGCAATTTCCCAGCGGGTCATTAACGGTGACTTTGAGTTTCGTTTAATGAAATTATCGGGGAAAATCTTTCGAGGCTCCAAATGAGTTTTCCTGCTGTTGGTTTCTTCCTGATTCCTCTTCTTCTTTTTTTTCTTTCTTTCTTTTTTAATCCATTTTCTTCACTTTTTCTATTTTGACCCAATCCGTACGACGATCTCTTTTTTTTTGGGGTTTGAATTTTTTTTTTTTTTACATTTCCTTATTTTTAGCTCTTCCCTGACATGGCTCCATACTTGTTCCGCTCTTGGCAGAGCAATTAACGGTGCCGATTAATCGATACGGAATTCGCACTACGCGGTTATCCCTGGGGGCGTCGGGGACGTCGAGACGCCTGATGGTATTCTCGTTCTCTCGTTCACTCCGTGTCTCTGTCCCTTGCTAAACTTTAAATCGACGCCCATTATGACAGCGCGGAGACGACGACGTCGTTCTCGACGCCGACGTAAATCGGACGAAAGTTTCGCGATAAATCATCGACTTCCAGTGGGCTACCCCGTGTCTTCTTGCTCCTGGGCCAACTAATAAATATTAATATGGTACCCTTGCTTGGCAATCGATGGGGGGTGGATTCTTGATTGGAAGAAAAAAAAAAGAGGAACGAAAACCCACCGACAGCGCAGATCGGCAATGACACCGCCAATATAGAATACGATAAGAGTACAATCAGGGCCTACCAAGCTATTAGCATCCGGTATCGATCGGACCATCACGAACTTCCGGTATCGCTGCCGATTCGGAGGAATCCCCAGTAGGGTTGACCTAGAGAAGTTTGAGTTTGAAAGGATACCTGAAGAACAGGGATGACAAAAAATAGGGTGGTCCAGAGTCCCTACCGGAAGTGAATTTCCGATGATCGGCTAATTCGATCTTTCGTATGTCTTTCGATAGTTTCAAGCGGATGGCTGGACCGGTTGGATAAGCAGCCACGTCACTCGATACGACGCTGGCTGATTTTCTCTCCGGTCCACCCGTCTCCCTCGGATAGCGTCCTGGCATCTCACTCGCTCCTCCAACTTGTCGTTAACTCAATAAAACTCTCGTCTCGTCCAGAGCTGTCTTTTTTCTTGCTCATCCTCGTCCTCCTCTTTACTTTATCTCGTTCATCCCTCCTGTACGGCGGGAGAGGACGGGAGGGCCTGTCTTTGTAACCAGGCGCGAAAACCTCTTAGCCAGGCTCACCGCAATCATTTCCACTCGAAGTGGCTCTTTTAAACGGTGTTTTACGGGAATATGGAATTTTTTGAAATTGCACGAGACACTTCGGTTCGCGACACTTCCAGCACCGAGGGGGTCCGTAACGTCTTGTATCTGCGTTGTATCCAGGGGTTGAGTGATGCTCGAGTAAGAACCGACGGGGAAAAAAAAAAGAAAAATGAATTTAACAGGAGCACATCAAGAAGATTGCTCGGCGTATCTTTTGGAATCAGGAGTATCCCGTGACTTGGAGCTTTTATCGGAGCTTTTGGTCCCTCTTAAGGAATATCGGTCTTTATCGCTGCCCCGTTCCAGCTTTCGTCGTCTTACACACCGAGAGTCACACCCCCCGTGGGACCCTACAGGCTGTATAAGGGCTTTCGCGGGTGCCTCTTCAATAAAGCCCGGCATTTGCGTGTATAGTGCATTCCTCGTATAATTCAACTTGCTTCTACCAGTCTTATGTGACTTCAACCCTTTCCGCCCTTATTCTCGATCTCTCTGTCGCGACACCCCGCAAGCACTTAGGGACCGTTCGAGATACAGTAGAGCCAGTCGCCACCTTACCCATAGACGTGGACGGACGTAAAGAACGGAAATAAATAAATGTGCAATATAATAGTACCGTCTAAGAAAGGAATAACGGCACTGTAGCGGGTACTCGGTACTTGTCTTCCGTTTATCGAGCAAAACCATTTTACCCGGTAATTGACAATAGGCATGATTTTCGTGCTTCGTCGAATGCCGTACAATTGATGCCCACTTACGTAAAATTATATATGGCTGCATTGTGCGGCTCTGGTGCATTGTGCGCTGTGCATTATGTCTCGTGAATTGCATTTCGAGAGGCGATATTACGCAAGAATGAATTTTTATTAGAAGTACGATATTACAGTTGCGTCATTTTCTCCTCCACTCACTGATGGCTAAATTAACTTTTTTTTTCTTTCTTTTATTATGTACAAATTCTCATCGTTCTCATTACATATGTATAATCGTCTCTTTCATTTGTCTCGCATAGGGCTTGCTCTGTCGCCTTCAAATCGGTAGATTTGGCGACGGCATACGCATTCGTATTGCCCATTCGCCCTGGACCACTTCTTGTTACGAATTAGATGCAAACCGTCCTGTCCAGCATCCGCATGCATTTACATACGCCTAAGCCCACTCCGTATGTATATGCAGGAGGGCCGAGATGGGGGGACTTACTGGCGGTCGATTTGCATGAAATGAGACCCCTCCCGCCTGTCCAATCCCCATAGGAACCACCTTGATACACCCCGTGTCCACACGTTCACGCAATTGCACACGAGCGAGCCCTTTACGTTTACACGTGGGGGTGGTGGGGGGAGGGGGATATCCTGGAAACGTCAGAATACTACGTACACGTACTTATCATATACGTCATCCGGAAATTGGACGCTCGTTCGTACACTAAGAATCTTATAGCGCTGACGTCACGTCCTTCTGCGATGCTTTGCCGAAGCGTTTTTAGTTTTTGCTTTTTTGGTTTTTTTAATTTTATTTTTCATTTCTCGCAGAACGCCAGATTATCGTACACTATCATACAGGAAACAGTTTATGGGCACTGTTTGCAATCGGGCGACTTTCTCGGTCAGTCGAGATTTATCGTCGTCAGGATTGCCAGGAGGGCGATCAGGGTCAGCGCGGAGTCTGGATGACCGGTGGAACCGTGTTGCATGGCTGCAGGGTGCTCTCCTTAAATGGTTATAATTTTTTTTTTTTTTTTTTGAAATTTTGTTTTCGGAAATTTTATTAGTAGGAATTTTTTTTGGGTTACCATTCAGAACGTGCACGGTTACGCTTGTGGGTACGGCTCTGTTGGAGAAGCACGTGTAATTTCCGCTATCCTTGAGTAAAGCTCGCGTCACCAGGAGCTTACTGGTCGTTCCACTTTTCGTTTTTTCCGTTTCCAAGGAGACGCCACCTCTGTCGGGAAAATGTTCATCTGTCATACTTTTCTCAATATCTCTTGTCTCGAGATGGGCTGGTGCCTTTTGTGACTGAACCATACGCACCTGGGTCCATCGAAATCGATCACGGAACCAGCGTGGTACCAGGTCAGGTTACCCGGCGGTACGTCTTGGGCATTCACCGTGCAGGTCAGACTTATGGTACTTCCTTTCTTTACGTACACCTCCTGAGGACCCCAGATCTTCGCTGCGACGTCTGTAATTGAAAAAAAAAAAGAAAAAATGAAAATCAGACGCTTAAACTTATAATTGATCAATAAATTCTGATCGATGATATATTTGCCGCATGAACCAACCTAAGATGTTCAAGCTTACTGCCAGGTGTATCTTGGGCTCCGTGTTAACCTGGCACTCGTAGACACCCGCGTCCCTGGGCTGCACGTACTTTATCGTCAGATCCCAAATCTCGGAGTCCTGCGGATGCTGGACCGCGAATCGGGCGTCGCTCGTATACGTGAAGCTCATCGAGGTCAGGATGTGCAGATCACGCTTTCGCATCCAGGATACCTGTCGATTTTTAATCATTTCGTTTTTTTCCCTCTTTTTTGACTTTTTTTCTTTGTCAGTGGCTATGGAAATTCTACCGGGGTCCAAGAGTCCTGTGCTTAGCTATATCCATACGTTAAAATATAATTTTATTATCTTTTTGTTCCTGTGGCTTCTAGGTGATTCTGGATCATACATATATATACTATGTATATATATATATATATATATATATACTGTAATATATACATATCTATATAGTGAATATTATTCTTTATGCGTCACACTTCAAGCAGCACTTTGAAGATTTTTGAAATTCAAATGATTCTCATACGAGTAACAAGGACTCACAGTCCGTTCGCGTAGATTTTTCACTCGGCACGGCAATAGCGCCGTCTGCCCGACCACCGTCGTCACGTTCTGCACCGTGTCCTTGGTAAAGCGTGTACCCTCCGCATCCTTGCTAGACAGTCGGACGTCCCTGGACGACGACGTCTCCGCGCGCAGGAGGTACGTCGTACCGAGGAAGAGCAGTATCAGGCTGGCACGGTGGTACCGTGTCATTTTATGATGGGAAGCCGTATGTTTGCATTATTATTAACTGTACGGTTTCGGGACTAATCGGTCTCATCCTTCCGTTCACGAGTGTCCGCGAAGACGTAAGCGTCGCGACACTTGCACGAGGACGTCGCGACGCACACGCATCAACGAATCTGAGCGTCCCGTTGAATTCTTGCGATAGGTACGACTGCGAGAGGACATTACGATTTTTTTACAAAATTTTTTTTTTGGTCACGTGATTTTTCTCATCGTCACCGGCCCGATCAACGTGCCCCGAATCCCCGAGTTATCGTCATTCTCATTTTTGTTATTGTTCTCTTGGCTGTTCTCTTCGCCCTCGTACGTTCTCCTATTTTCTTCTCGGGATCGCGTCTCGGGATCTTTCGACGCGTCGCGGCGACGCTGTTTCGCGAACTGAACTTAGGAAAATTCGTCCCGACGTTTCGTAAACGCACGCGCCCCGAGTCTGCGTACTTGTCCGGGGGTGCCGTTTATTCAAAGAGTTCGTCATCGTGGATTCTATCGGCTGAGCTCGAGTCTTGTACCTCGCGTCGGTATTGCAGTCACGCTGCATTACCGTCTATCGATATATCAGGCGGAATTCTTGAATCCCTTGTTACCCAAGGAGTCTCCGCGTCTTTATACCACAAATCGATTTTAACTTTCGATTAATTTGAATTTCGTTATTTCACGGTTGCTCGGTTATATTTTACAGTCCTGACTAACGGTGACGTATTTCTCTTTTATAGCTTCGGTATCCCGAAGTTAAGGGCTGGCGCCTGACGAGCGATCGTAATTCCAAGCACGACTAATTAACCTTAATAAGATGCTTTATTATGTCTGGCCGTATGTACATTTACGTATATAATTACTTCTCTAATAGTTCTTCCGATTGCGTAACTCCTATTCGCAAAGTGCATCGGTCATACGGCGTGATTGGTCAGGGGGGGGATGGTTACAGCTGAGCTTGCGCCTGGCGTTCGCTGAGCTTGCGCAGGAGCGAAAGCGCGAAGGCGCGAAAGCCAGATCAGGGTAAACGAGTCGAAGAGTCGGCTTGGCCATCGGCACGATCGCCACGGCCACCCTTGGCGTTCGTCAGCTACCCCGAGGTTAACGGAAGTGCGAGAAAGTGATATTCGGACCAAGAGATTTCATCCCTGACGAAGCGATCGACCCGTCGTCTCTATTCGCGATCCTGATCAAAGGGACTCCATCCTCCGACGTACAAGGAACGGGGCACCCAGCTCAGCCCCCCTTCGGGAATTTCTATCGACAGGACCCACGAGCACTTCCGGGAGCAACAGTTATGCTCCACCGGTCGTCCTGGCGTCCTGGTGCTTTTCGACGACTCTAAATCATACATATCGGGCTCTTCGGTGGACTTCCGGTGGTGAGTAAATCACCCCTCGTAAAGGGAACAGTTATTCCTGGGCGTCAATCCGTCTGTCATCCAGTTTTCGGCGGGGTCGGTTCGCGTGTCTGGTAATGCGGCGTATCTACTTCGTGTCCTATTAACGTCAAAGTGTCTTCCGGGGGGACGGACGGGTATACCCGGTG